GCACTTCATTTCACAAGAACAATATTATGCAAATAGTTTCTTTTATTCTATTGTCTTTTTATAATACCCTTTTACCCGTCACAGGGGCATTCGTTACTTTTGTGTGACAACTCTTGTTTTAAAAGATTTTAGAAAAGTATTTCACAATCGGCAAAAAATGTTTAACGTCATTCTTTCTCGCAAATCTTCCGTTCATTGTTTTAAATAAATAAATTGTTTGAATCTTTTCAAAAGTTTTTTTTTAAGTCGGCTGGCTCAAGACGACGTTTACATAGTCTGAAGGGTATTTCACATAGTTACAATGTTTCTGTTCATACGTATATTCTTTACCATCGTTTGTGGATTTTTAGGTGAAAAGACGTATATGACTTTGTTCTTTAACATGGAATAAAGGCTTGATAAGTGATTTCTTTCAGTTTATTGAAGTAAAGAAAAATTATGTGATAGTGTACTTTTTCAGTATTTACTCGGTTTACATCTTGAAGCGTAAAATTATTATTATTATTATTATTAATAATAATAATAATAATAATAATAATAATAATAATAATAATAATGATGATGATGATGATGATGATGATGATGATGATGATGATGATGATGATGAAAAACGCTTAGTTACAATGTGCACTGAACACTCCTTCATGGTTTTTTATTTATGAAAAATATTTTTCACTGAAGTAAAAGTTACATGTACTTTTAATATTTAGCTTTAATAATATTTTTTTCTAAACATATTATTTACATGATAATTGACATATAATAAATTGCACGGACTTGAAAAGCTTGTTTTTAGAAATTCTCTCCGTAAGCACTATCTCAAAGAGTATGTATAAAATGTTATAAATATTAAATTTGTGTGTGTGTGTGTGTGTGTGTGTGTGTGTGTGTGTGTGTGTTAAATATACATAACATTTTCACTATAAACTCGAACCGATCTTTATAATAAAGTATAGACATAAAAAAGTAAAGGAAAGCCCTACAGCTCTGAAGCATAAATACACGTAAGTGATAAATGCACGAATTAGCACATTTTAAATATAAAATTAAACTAGTCAAGAATAGTAATAGAAATCTTAAACATGTTTGATAAATTTAAGAAAAAATGATATTGAAATGTAAGTTAATTGTTGAAATTGTTGGGTAGTAGAAGGTAAGAAGTAAGAGACATATTTGAGAGAAAGAAAGAAGAAAAAACAACGGAAAATGGTCACTATATTATTATGGAGTTGATGGCACGAGTTTATATATACTTATGTGAAGATTTTATGCATATATTAGTCTAGATAATAACTTTTTATTACAAATCATTCAAATCGTTTTGTTCTGTGCATGTGTGTATATGAAAGACCATTGCTCCATTTAAATCGTCAGCATGAGTTATTACCATAGAGTAAAACGCTAAGCGTGAAAGTTGTTATTTTCTCTGGAGGACGGTTCGTTCATCTTGGTACCATGGGCACGAGAAGAAATAATGAGATGTGTTTTCTATGTCGCCACATTCACATAAGGGACTTTTTGTTATGGTTTTTCAAAACAAATGTTCTTTGAGAGAACTACAATGTGTTCCAAGTCTTTTGTATATAATCTGGTATTTTCTTTCATCTACATAGTAATAAGAAGGCACACTTTGGACATCTTCATTCAGTCTTATTTTGAAAATTGAAATGGATGGTGAATTTCTGTAATTAACAGGGATATTGTTCCAGTCTTTAATTGATGATGACAAAAATTAACGAGAATAAAGTTGTGTGTGACAAAATTTATTTCTAGTGTTGTCTGCATTTCGTAAATTATAATCTGAAGATTCCCCTACTGTATCGGGAACCATTGAGGACAATGATTATTGAACATTTTATAAAGAAGAATTTGTTTGTGTTTGTAGCGTCTTACTTTAAGAAGTTGGATGCAAATATACAGTTTTGCGATGGAAATTTATTTTGTTGTACCGGTTATATAATTCAGCAAGCTTCAAATAAGATTATTTTCAAGTTTGAATCCATCTTGTTGAGTTATGTTGTCCGAAACAACATCTTGATATTCCAGAAGGGGCCGGGTGAATGAGGGATATATAGTTTCAAGTGACTTACAGTGAAGAATTAATTCAGAGATCTCGTAATATAAATTCTTCGCCAGACTTTTTTTTACAATAATCTGTATGTGTGAATGCCAGTGTCCATCATTAGAAAATGTTACTCCAAGATGTTTGTAACGGGTCACTTCATTTATTTACTCAGTGGGGGATGAGTGGGTTTGTTGACTACGACAGATTACGACTGATTCCGTTTTACTTGGGTTGAAGTCTACAAGCAATCCATTTGCTCATTCTGTAATATTTTTCAGATCTAAATTAACAGTCTCCGCAGCATGAAGTGGATTAACAAGAATGATATACCATATAAGCAATTATTTCTGCGGGCTTAATATCCTGCGGTATAAACTTGTGTCGTCTGCAAAGAGACTGATATTTGACTCCGGCTGAAATAAAGACAATTTGAGAGGAACCGCCTGGAAGAACAACCTTTTGTTTTTTATCAGTGAGATAGTCGCTAAACAAATTTAAAAGCGCACAATTTATTCCAGCAGACTGAAGCTTAAAATTAGACCTTTGTGCCGAACACGATCAAAGGCTTTTGAAATATCACAAAAGTCAGCTCTCACTTCTTTTCCATCATCAAGGGCTTTGCACGATGTGTTATATATAGAAACAAGTTGATTGGAGTCATTTGGAACAAACATAGGTTGTAAAGAAGTTATTGTGTTAACAAGGAAATTTAATATATGCTTATAAATTGTATTTGTATATTTTTTCTAAAGATTTGCTGATCGTGCTAAGAAGAGATAAAGGTCTGTAATTAGAAACAATTGAAGGGTCACCTTTCTTGTAGACTGCACAGATATTGACAAGCTTCCATTGTGAAGGGACTTTACAAGTTCTTTATGCTTTCCTAAAAAGATGGCAGAAAGGTATAGAGAGTTCTTCTGACAATTCCTTCAGTATCCTGTTGTTGATATTATTAGGTCCTGATGCTTTACCAACATTGAGAGTTTTGAGAGTACCCAACACCTATTTATAAGTTATATGATGTATACAAATTAATAATCTCAAGTATGTTTTTACATTTATGTATTTTAATAGTTTGAATATGTTTAATTTATATTGTTCCTTGTTGAGGGCCTCATGGAAGATTGATATGTTTGTTCAAATGAGTTCTCTCGTTAAATAGTCTTTATTATAATTATTATTATTATTATTATTATTATTATTATTATTATTATTATTTTTTATTATTATGTCAAGTTTATTGACAGTTTGTTGTACATGAAAGTTGGTTGTTTTTATCATCAAGTGAGGATTGTGACTGAAAAAATTGGTTAAGTAAATTTGCTTTTTCAGTGTCTAAAGTAAATATAGTGCCGTTATCACACATGGAAGGTTTTACTTACTTGCACTGAGCGTTGCACACGTTCGTCTATCGGAAGTCAGTCGTTACTCAATCGCTACTTGGTTGTTATTAATCGTTTGCTTTGCATTGAACGACTCACTGGCGACTCTAAGACGACCTATCAACGACCGCTGAACGGTCTTTAAACGCACAAACGTGTAACTAAGGTAAAGGAACGTCCTTTATGCGTCCATTGAGCGTCATTTGTGCGTCATTCGACCGTTTCACGAACGACTATGCATGTGTAAAAAGCAAGTTTCATTTGATTTTGGGCTATCGTAGAGAACACCTACTATGGAAGATCCTGAAAGATTAAGTAGGCTTTATATGTTTGCTATGGCATATATTCTAGTAGATGTGCTGAACTAATCTGAACATATCGAGGGAAATCACCCGCAGAGAGACCCCGACATTCATCAACAGAGAAGAAGACCCCGACAATGACGAGAGTGTTGAACTTAATCATAAATATAAAGTAGTCAAGGATTTGGAAATACAAAATGTATCTAGTAGAAGCCCTCATCCCAATCTGTTTTCATTGTTGTCATGATGCTGACTATTCAAGCACACAACAACTATGAAATTTCCAGCGTTCTGTAGCCGTTTAGCCGTAAAAAACAACACGTTATCAAGACGCTATTGTGTCTTTATTCACGCGTTAGTCACACGCTCATAACGCTCGTCAGGCGTTGACAAATAGTTCGTCCCGCGCCAATGGCACGTTAGCACACGCTTATAGGTTTCAGACGTATCCTACTTTGTCGCTGTTACACGCTTCTCGTGCGTTAGACACACTTAATCACACGCTACATGAGTCAATTTCATTCGAGAACGTTCAAAAATTGAACGATTGAAACGTTCAGAGAGCGTTGACCAGAACGTCATGGTGTGATGGACCCTTTAGCTGTTATTTTTTTCCCTCTAGATTCTTTAGAATTTCCTTAACATATAAAACTTTTTATTTGTAGCCGCAACTGTTTACGGAGGAGAATACTGTACGATTGACGTTGTCGTATCGTCTGGAACCACACGTGATTCGTACTGCGAGCACGGCTGTTGTCGTGACAACTATGATAGCAGCAGAATTTGTTGTAATGACCCGTAAGTGACGTTTTCTTCAAGTGACATATTCCTCACCTTGTCTCACTAAATAAAACTCTGTAGAAAAGACAAGCGTGTGTTTATTATGTATTATTCAATAGTATAATTTGATATAATTTCTAAAAACGTTTTTAAATTTTAGTGTCTGGTTTAAACCTGAAGACGGGATACATTTTGTTTGGGAGTCCAAGTGGGAGCATTCAGGAAAAAACACACTTTATCCCGTTTTCAGGACTAAAAACTAAGCAGTAAAACATAAAAAAGCTTACAACTTTCCGTAGCTCGCAAATCTTTTTGAATATATTTAGTTCATTACAACTATCACTTTTTTTTCCTGAATGGGCTGTCTAAATGAAATAAAGAAACAAAACTAAGATCTATTTGGTGAAATATTCAATGTAGAAAGAAAGATATAAATCTACATTTACTCTTATTTATTTCTTATTACAACAGAGACAAGATCACGAATGTCATTATTTGGGCAGTAATAGGAGGAATCGTCGGCGCCGGCATAGTCATTGGCTGCATTATATATGGTTTTTGCAAATATTGCAAATATCGTTTATAGCCTCAAAGCAAAAAAGGTAAGAATATTTAAGTGACATATATACTGCATTTGTGTATTTTAATGTGGTTAAAGAAGTAAGAGAACTGTGAGAAAGAAGTGCGCAAGACGGGGTAAGGGTCGGTAATGGGGTTGTCAGGGTTAATCAGTTTTATTTCAAGTAAAAATTTTTTTTTTTTCTTGCATTGTAGATGAACATTATTGGTGTGAAGATGGGAAAAACATCTCCTAGTATCAAGAACGTTACACCAAATATCCCTGGCATATACGAGCAAAAGAAGGATTATTATTTGTTATGCTTTCGTTTTTGTTTACATGTATATTTATGATAATTCTGATAGTTTTGTTTCTTTTTGAATTTTTGTTATCTTTTATATAAAACATTACTCAAATTGATAAAAATACAACAAAAAAAAACACAACAAATATATGACTTGACTTTACATAGAAATAGTAGATTTGTTGTTATATGAAGACCACTTCCTACTTTATCGGAATACAAATGTAGGTGTACTCACATACAATATCCATTGGCTGCTTTATTATATATGTATAGTGTGTCATGTACCTAAAGTGACTCGCAGTGAACGACTTTGAAGTTTCATACGGGAAGACAATCCACCTTGAAATACTCAAAAAATATTAAAAATAACCGTATGTTTATCTTTTGACATAGTAAATAAATTCATCAAGTGTGAAAATAACAGTTTTGTGACACTTTATAATTTTGAAAAAAATATTTCTTTAAATCATGTCATTTCTTTATTTATCAACTGATGAAGCTTATTAAAGCGGAACATATTTTGATAAATTGTGTTGGTTTTTTATCTTTTAATCTTTTACATAACATTGTACTACTTATTAATTTTAATTTCGTGATGAATATGTGTGAAAGAATATACAAGTATATGTAATATTATTACTTTTTGTTTTATTTGTATTATGTTGTCGGAAAACACAGCAGGTCGTGCCATGGTTTGCTTAAAATCTGAGTGAAAGCGAAGACATGACGGACATTTGTCGTCGGTTGTCGTCTGCCCAATAATGTAAGATACATGTATATCACATGGATAGGCACTTGAAGGAATATAATTTCTCAATTCTTATCACTTTGACACTTTCAAATTATGTGGAATCAAAGCGCTATTTAAAAGGGAAAGTTCAATAGTAAAAGTTGTCTAATCTTTTATGTTTGAAACCGTACAGTAGGTATATGCTATACAAATAAAGGGAGAATATTCTTACTGTTTTCCTTTTGGTAGATTTCACAATTTCCTCCCTTACATCATTAGTTTTCTGTACTGTTCGTATAATTTTAGTCAAATTGCAGTAATACTTGTATATCAAATACTCGAGCATAATACTATACAAGTGATGAATGATTTCCCCACATTATATACCGGAGTTCCGGAAAGTGCAAGTTTACTCTTTTTGGTAAGGCTCTTTACTGTCGGTCTCTTTGATTTCTGGTCTGCAAATATTCAGTTTAAGTTAAGAGTTAATTAAAAGTGTAATACCCTCAATTACCATGACACATTCAAGAGAAAATAGAAATTAGATAACTTGAATAGAGATAATACAAGCGTAGTCTGGTTATACATCGTGGACTTGTCGACGGACTTGAACAGAATATGATAAGCCAAGCCATGTAGAGCCAGACCAGCCGGTACAATCAAACAGTCTGACCAGGATCTGTTGGTAGCTGAGTTTTTTGATTCAGAAATTGAAATCCCCAAAAACCGTTATGTGTAGCGTTCTAAGTTCAACGCAGGATTTATTCATTACACACATTCAGCAGTCGAGCGTTATTTTAACTACAGACCCATAGAATAAGCTGTATATGACGTGTGGAACATCTTACTGAAATACTTCTTACGTCGTTAAATATATGCTCAGTTGCAAAAGTGGGAACTTGGTTACTTGGAAATTCTCTATTCATAAATGACAAAATAGTGGCAAATTTGGAACTAAAATTTGCAGAAATATATTGTCCATACAATGATTTACTTTGTATTGAAACTTGATATTTATCAGAAGTTTTGGTTACGCGTAAATAGCGAAAGGGAAAGCTGAAATTTTGATTTTTGGGTTGTTTCGTTACGGAAGCATTAATCAGTAACTGTTGAGTCCATCTTGTTCATGGATCAACGAAAATGATCGAGACTGCATGGATCTGACGTAACGTCTTAATGAATTGGGTTCGAGTGATTTTCCATATCAAACGCTTTCGCATTTACCAAAAGACACAATTCTGCACCTTTTATTTTGGATCTCTGAAGTGTTTAATCGTAACCAAAGTTCTGATAGTAGTGCCATTATGTAGTCAATATATATCTGCAAATTTTGATACCAAATATGCTAATATTTTGTTTAAGTAAGCTTAAAACTTTCCTGCAAATGCAAATTTTCTTTTGTAACTCAGTATAGTTTGAAGGGACTGAGCTAGCCCTGTTAAAGGTAATGCGACTATAAGTTATCCGAGGACATTTTCAAAAGCCCAATATTTTATATTTTGGCATTTATCTTGAAGAATCTATCGTAATTTTGAAGAACAATATAATTATAATTAAGAGAACTCTTAGAAAGCATAACAAAAAAGTTATTTATTTAACATTTATTTTTTCCCTTTTCTCTAAAATACTGATATGTAATACTGATGTAAACATTTTCATAAATACCGATGTAAACATTTATATCAAATAAAACGCATACCAGATCTTAACAATTGTAAAATATATATAATTTATTGCTTTTTTTTCTCCATTTACTGAGTATATATCACATGTGCTTTTTAGTTCGTTGTTCTTTATTCGAAGTCCTTTTAACATTTCAAGTTTCATTTGTTTGAGAGTTCATATGTTTCAAGGTTAAGGGTTTAAGCCTCTTCCTCTCCTTCCTCCTCATCGAACTCGCCTTCCTCCTCGGCGGTGGCGTCCTGGTACTGTTGGTATTCAGAGACCAAGTCGTTCATGTTGGACTCGGCTTCAGTGAATTCCATCTCGTCCATACCCTCACCAGTGTACCAATGCAAGAAAGCCTTACGACGGAACATAGCGGTGAACTGCTCTGAGATACGCTTGAAGAGTTCCTGGATGGCGGTGCTGTTTCCGACAAAGGTGGCGGACATCTTAAGACCACGTGGTGGGATGTCGCAGACAGCTGTCTTGACGTTGTTGGGGATCCATTCAACGAAGTAGCTGCTGTTCTTGTTCTGGACGTTCAACATCTGTTCGTCGACCTCCTTCATGGACATACGTCCACGGAACATAGCGGCGACGGTGAGGTATCTGCCGTGACGTGGGTCACAGGCAGCCATCATGTTCTTGGCATCGAACATCTGTTGGGTGAGCTCGGGGACGGTAAGAGCTCTGTATTGCTGGCTACCACGTGAGGTAAGTGGAGCGAATCCGGGCATGAAGAAGTGGAGACGTGGGAAGGGGACCATGTTGACGGCCAATTTACGGAGATCGGCGTTCAACTGACCTGGGAATCGGAGACAAGTGGTGACACCTGACATGGTGGCAGAGACGAGATGGTTCAAGTCACCGTATGTTGGGGTGGTGAGTTTCAAGGTTCTGAAGCAGATATCGTAGAGAGCCTCGTTATCAATGCAGTATGTCTCGTCGGTGTTCTCAACGAGCTGATGGACTGAGAGTGTGGCGTTGTATGGTTCTACGACTGTGTCTGATACCTGGAAAATATCAAATGATAAAAACATAAGTCAAAACAATACAAAGATGATAAAAACATATGTCAAAACATTACAAAGATGATAAAAACATAAGTCAAAAATTACAAAGAGTTTCGCTTATCATTTTTGATACACATATTTTGAATAGTTTAGTCGATAAGTTAATTAGTTTGATTCGAATATTCAAGTCTTTAAACGAAATAATTATTAAGATTATGTATTATTTATTATTTAGTTACTAAAAGTTGTACATATGTTTGGTATATATTAAAACTTGAGGGGAATGCTTACTTTTGGTGATGGTACAACGGAGAAGGTGTTCATGATTCTGTCGGGGTATTCTTCACGGATCTTGCTGATGAGGAGTGTTCCCATACCAGATCCGGTACCGCCACCAAGGGAGTGTGTAAGTTGGAATCCCTGAAGGCAGTCGCAGCTCTCAGCCTCTTTCCTGACTACGTCAAGGACGGAGTCGACGAGTTCAGCTCCCTCTGTGTAGTGACCCTTGGCCCAGTTGTTACCGGCTCCGCTCTGTCCGAACACAAAGTTGTCTGGTCGGAAGATCTGTCCGAATGGACCAGATCGCACGGAGTCCATGGTACCTGGCTCAAGATCGACGAGGATTGCACGTGGTACATATTTGCCACCGGTGGCTTCATTGTAGTAAACGTTGATTCTCTCGAGTTGGAGGTCAGAGTCACCGTGGTAGGTACCAGTGGGGTCAATACCGTGCTCGTCTGAGATGACTTCCCAGAACTGAAAGCAGAAAAATTAATTTGGTCAAAATTTTAATTTCTTTCTCTTTTTTATATAAAAAATCACCTCTATAGTTTAGCTATAGGAGAAATCAATATATTTGTTAACACGGTATTTGACAGTAATGCTAAATGGCATACTATCAGATCAATTACAATATTTTTTTTCTATTTTGTATGTTGTTGTTTTTTTAATTAAATTTGAATACAAATATATATATATCACACTCGGCCAAACATATATATATATATCTTATTTCTCAAAAGTCTTCAAAAAAATTCAATCTTACACGCAAATACTTTTTTTATTGTTAAGAACAAACAATTGTTTAAACGCATTTCTATTGTGTTAAAAAATAAAAGTCGGCCAATGACGCGTGCTAACGAACCTTTTATTTGCGTTTTCAATATAAATTTAATGACATAGAACAACATGTTTGCCAACTCTTTTAAATAGTTAATGGATCGCATTTCCCCTAACCCCCCCCCCCCCCCAGTTGTTAATAAATGAAATAAATGAAATGTTAATAATAAAACCTTTTCTTTATTTTATGAATGATCTAAATTCTATCTCTAAATAGAAAATTCCATAGTTAAATTATCAATTGAGAAAGTTTATATGTAAACCGATATTTCCGACCCCCCGCCCCCACCACCTCAACCCTCACAAAACAAAAATCTACTTTAAACATTTAAACAAATAGTTGACTTTCTTATCTAATAAATAAAAATGTCACGTGAAAAAAGATAAAACATCTTGACAATTGGCGATAAACCTTTATGATGTAAAAGGCTATTTGATAAACTATTTATCAAATTGGCAAAAACTGAACTTTCATACTAACTTGGTATAATCTATACAGTTTTATCAAACAATTCAAATAATTTATACATTTTATCCCCGCCAATTTTATCAAATTTTATTTAATGAAAAATCGTTATCAATAGAGAAACGCGTACGATTACATGACATAATTTTGGTTTAAAAAAAAAAGTGAAACAAGCCGGAAGCAGTGGTTACGTGGAACTTTTCCATGGCAACCATACTAACACACAAAACGACAGATCATAAACACCCATGCATGTATTTACCAACATAATTTATGTTTGATAAAACAGTATCAATTAAAAAAAGATCTCTAATGATAAAATAATTTCATTAATTTTTGTTTGTACTGACTGAATTAAGTTATATGAATCAGAATCACATATTCTCATTTCCGTACTGATATTTGAAAGTAAATACATGTAGAATCATTGAAGTGTATGTATGTAATAAGTATTAACTGTCAACAATTGCACTTACAATGTATATAGTTTAATTTAATTACTTAGAAACTAAAAGAAGTTAACAAGTTTACAAAAAAAATTTTTGAAAGTCACATGGAGACAACATGTGTAAATCAAAATTACGAATTTCCTTTCTTGAAAAAAAAAACCCTCATTCTAAACATAAAAAGAATAATAGACAATATGAATAATTATAATTCAGTAGAGGAGCTTCATCAACAAAAAAATTGTCACAAGAAACCCCGTTACTTCCCGTACACGGTATAACGGAATGTGGTGAAAAAAGCATGATAAAAAGCAAAACATGCTGGTATCAGTGAAAAGATAGATAGAAGTTGGAAATGAATAAAAAGACTTACTTTAGCACCAATCTGGTTGCCGCACTGACCGGCTTGGATGTGGACGATTTCTCTCATTTTGATGTGTTGATGGTATTAAGTTAACCTAACTAATAAATGTTTCTCTCGATCTCGAGTTATTGCTGTGCGTACGGCGTGTTTAGATCGCACACGGGATATATAGCCGGCTGGGCCGAATTACATTATCCGTTTTGTGCACGACCGCCATGAAAATAGTTCCATCACTGGAAACTAATTTAACATTAAAAAACCTGTGCAATCAGATTTAATTTTATAAATTTATATGTTTAATGACAAATTTTAATTTTTGATAAGTTTTAATTTATATTTATTTTATTCAATTTATATAATTAATATTTGAACTACTTTTACCGGAAGGCGTATGAATACATACCAGCAAATATTTGTGTTATCGGTTGCCAATGGATTGCATTGGTCATGTTTAGACATTATTTATAGATTAGTGCGACAATCCAAAGATTATAACTTTTGTTTTCACAAACAACTTCGTTTCGAATGAATAGCAGACAATAGACATTATTTTGTAATCCGATTTAATAGAGGTTAACTGTAACAAATGCATAAACTTTTACTACCTTTCATTGTGTATTGAAATTGAAACGGTCCGTTATTGATAACACTAAATATGCATGTATACATGTTGTAGTTATGTTCGTTTGCACATAGAAATAATACTTTTTATTTATTTATTTTACTGAATTAATTATCTTTTCTCTTAGCTTAAATTGTGTGTTAAATTTTATGTATGTATATTATATGTATGCTTGAATAACATATTTCATAATATTTTGAAATAGATAAAAAAAATATGAATCAGAGTTTCAGACGGTTTCTCTAAAATTCTAAATACATGCATGTTTTTTTATATATATTACACACGGACACAAGCATGATTTTTTTTGCTTGAGAAAAAGACTTTACCAGGTCAATCATTATCATTTTTATCATCTTTTTTATCATCATCATCATATTCATCACAATGTCATTCTTATCTACTTTCACAGAGAAATGAAATTTTTGCCCATAAGATTTTAATCATTTGGATGACATTATTAAAAAGTGTTTGTCAATTTACAGATCAATTTTTACATAGATCTATTGCTTTCTTCAAAATACCCATGACTGTGATTTAGCTGTGTGTGCTTTTGGTCAAGCTAAAACAGAAACTTGTCAAGCTTAAGTATAAGGGATATTGGAAGATTTCATAACGTAATGAAATGCCAGTGACGTCATTTCAGCTCCCATAACGTACACTGCCGTCTGCATGAACATTCATATAGTAGATCATAACGAAAAGTTTAATATGAAGATAAAAAGGCTCTCGTGTGGGAAAAAATACATGTAGCATAAGAACACACTGTCAATTGCGTCCATCGTTCTCAAAAATCATTACAGAATAATGTTAATATAAATTCTTGATGAAGGTAGGACTATTGATGATCTTACGAGGCATTGTTATACAACGCGGCAATAATGTACATAATGAGATGTGAGCACGAACGCCACGTGCACACATGACTAACAAAGCTAAATTTGTGTTGAATATTTGATAAGGGTACTACATGGGGTATATAGAAGTTTTTCACGAGAATTATATGCCGTTATATTTGTGTAATGACTAATAAGATTTGCATTCTTTTTACGGCAAAATGTTTAGATTCGTGAAAAATTGACAAAATACATAATTTTCCGTGTTTCACGAAAATCTAATAAGCGTCAATCTGACGTCTGATCAGTAGAGGATCTTGTCAACTTTCTGCTTTCCTGAAATATATTTTGTGAAAGAAATAATGAAGCTGACACGTCTTGTTGGTATGATATATATAGGTAGATGTAGCAGGGTCTAACATACTTATAGTTTGAACAGTTTCTCTTGTTTACACCTTTTTTTTGGTATTGAATATCTTAGCACAAAATTTGGGTGAACGAGAGAAAAACTGATCGTAACACTTTTGAAAATAATGGATATAAAAGCAAGTCATCTCGTAACTTACATGTATAGACGTCTTTTCTACAGTATCTGACAAAATGTATTCAAGTTAAGCAAATAAATTTGATCAAGTCTAAATATTTTCCACCATAAGAGTATTATAGACTTAATCAACTTATCGAAGTCATGAATAAGTAATTAATCATGTCATGTAAATGCTGTTAAAGCATGTATAGTCACCTCTAAATTCAATACGCAGGGTAAAACCTTTTTTTCATATATTTTTAATCCTGTCCGGAGATTAAGGTCACTTTAGCCTTAACATGGATAAAAATCAAGTCTATATTATAATCGTAAAACGTTGAAGTGGGTGAGGGTTAGGGGAGGTGGGGGGGGGGGGGTGTTGTCGGGTGTGTAATGAAACGGCGGGGGGACTTGTAATACGGAGATCAAGTGAAAATGGGGTACGGTTCGAGGTGATATCGTCCAGCACATAATTAGATCAAGCCTCTTCTATACCGGCAAAATTATAGAAAAATAGTACAAAAAATGATATCCAAAACTGATTTGCCTCTGGTAATATTTACAAGTCAATAATTTATTGATATGTTTTTGACTGTGAGATGGTACCATTTTTCATGTGGTCGTGTTCTTGTGGTGCTTTTCTAACCTAAATTGTGGAGAAAAACTCTAAAAACGCCGTAGTCCCCAGTTTAATATCAGTCAGAGGCGGGTACCTGTGGCTGGGGTAATGAATTCGAGCCCTGTTCCCTTAACAATTCGGCCATGAAGACCCTACTTTTGTTGTTTTCGGTGAAAGTGCTTGGATAATATATAACAAAAATCTTTAATTTCATGGTCGAAAAGTTTCTTAAAAACACTCACAATTTCTCATTACATGAACTACTAGTATATTGTCTTAATAATCTTTAATTTCGCACTCTATAAAACAACTTTACTGCATGTACGATAACCTGTCCTTAAAGTACATTTTGTATTTCACTTTAGTTTAATCATATTTTATTACTAATATGTAATATGTAACATGTAAATATACAGAGAAACAAATTCATTTCGAAATAACAAAAAGCAAAAGGGTTGGGCCCGAGTTCTTACAACATTAGCGATCGGCCCTCCCTTGTAAAAAATATATTAATCAACATTGATGGCATTTATATGAGAAAATGTAACATGTATACATATAAAGCGACCATAGAAAAATCAAGACAGACAAACATCAAAAAGATTAAACCAATGTAAGAAGTAAGACATAATAAAAAAATGTATAGATTCTACATGTATTTGTATTTCACTCATATCTGTAGATACTATTTTACTTGAGAAATAAGAACATATACTTAACCACACAAGACATGCCTCGCTAAATGACATAACTTTATTCAAACAGGGTTTTTGAATAAAAAAAGGAAACAGACTAACAAAAGAAAAAAAAACGTAATCGATGCAACGTAGACATTCCATTCATTATTTGATCAAACTCTAGATAAATGCACGAAGAACAAATGAAAAACCCTGTGTTTAAAATGACTGAAGCTTATCATGTTAACAATTCAAATTATGCGTATTAATATAAAAGTAGTTCCGGCAGCGTTTAGTCTTGTCATACGAGATATTAAATAAGTCAAATATATAATTTCCGATTAATCTTAATTTTATTTAAACAGTCGATTTTATAGATTTTTTCATATAAAAAGGTACAAGTGACGTAGGTTGATTTATTCATATCATTGTTTGACATATAAAAATCTTTTTAGATCATATTCAAATATGAAGAAAACGTTTAAACTGTAAATATTTACTCTGTTTTATATAGTTGCTTTTAGTTTTTATCAATAAATCCATTATGCGTGATAGACATAGGTTAAGGAATTGATTTCGGTTAAGGATTTTACAAACCCATAGACGGATATGTCTAATCGAAATATTTCTAAAACACGTCATGGCATGTACAGAACAGATAATTCATTCAGGTTTTTTTATACAGACATACGGACACATATATTTGTCAACGTGAGATACAATAAGAAGGAAAATAAGCTAATATGTCTTTCAGTAATGTTTGATATTTGATATGAGCCGTGTCATGACAAAACCAACATAATGGGTTTGCGACTAGCATGGATCCAGACCAGCCTGCCCATCCGCGCAGTCTGATCAGGATCCATGCTGTTCGCTGTCAGTTTCTCTACTTGTAATAGGATTGGTAAGCGAACAGCATGGATCCTGATCAGACTGCGCGGATGCGCAGGCTGGTCTGGACCCATGCTGGTCACAAACCCATTATGTTGGTTTTGTAATGACGCGGCTCATATATGTAATTAAAAACAACTTATCATGCATTAGAAGTTAGTTGTCGTTTGCTGTTAAAAAAGAATTTCTTATTACATACAATGTATTTCATTTTCAGTGTTGTTGTTTTCCTTATGTTTCACTATAATAACGCATGACCTAATACAATATTTCAAAATTTTCTCCATGTTGATTTTGCTGCATGCTGTTTACAAAGTGGAAACGTTGAACATATAAAAGACACCGTACACTCGACAAGCTCATAATACTGGTGGTATCTGATAGCCTTAAAAGTATAAGTTGTGCAAGAGCAAATAAATTTAAAAAAGACTGCACTTGAACGTAATATTGTCAAAGTCAATCAATACTTCAATATAAACGTATATATTATTTATTTTATGACACAATCGGCAAACTGTGTTTATATCAACGTGTTTTTAACTTTTTATTAAACATTTTAAGGCAAGCAACGAAGTTCATATCATAGCAGAGGTCTCGGAAAAGGGTATCCCAAGGCAACCTTTAACTGTTTTTGAAGGTTAATTCCTTTCATTTAATTAATCCGTTAAATATTTAGCGCCCATTCGAACTCTTAAATGTCACACTGAAAGTTTTTTTTCCCTGTCTGATCTGAATTTCTTCTTAAAATGTTTCCTACATGTACTTGTTTTCAAAAGAAAACAAGCGCGTGTATAACCATATGTTTTTCTTTGTTTTAAATCAGTACGGTAATGACAATATAACGACACCCCCTCCCACCCCTTATTACTTAAAAGGGGCCTCCAATATTTTTTTCAGTAAACATAAAAAAAAATGCTGAGTCCGGGGTTTTTTCATTTTGCAAAGGGTAACACATTTTTCCATCAAATTTCCAGTTTTTTATGCCCAATCGTATAAAAAG